TAGGTGGATCTCATTTCTTAATAGCAGTCTTGGGTGTAGCAGGGATATAGGAGACATAGATTTGGAAACCAGTTTATTGCATCTCTAAGGAAATGACAACATAAGCCTTACAGCAAAAATTAGACTTTTTTTTCTTAATGAGCTTAAAGGAAAGTACTTACTTTGTGTTATCAGTTAATTTTGTATGTGTCTTTTTTCTTTTTAAGCTGTTCGGAGTCTTTTGGGCTGCATACAGTGCTGCTTCATTGCTGGTTGGAGAAGAATTTAAGACCAAGAAACCCCTTCTGATTTATCCAATTTTTTTGTTGTATATCTATTTCTTGTCCTTATATACTGGGGTGTGATATAGTGTTGGATGTGTCAGAAATAATACTTCATACACATGCAGACTGGTAAAGCATAAGATTAAAATGGTTGCAGAAAATAACAAGCAACTGTGCTCTATCCAGTTGTCAGGAGGTTTTGAAATCTAAACCATGTGTGTATATTATTTAATTCAGCAACTGTAGCTATATAGATTTGTATCAAAGTTTTAGGTTTGTTTAAGACTCTTCAGATTTTAATGAACAAAATATAAGAATCTTGTGTTTTATAAGATTGTGTAGCAAAAATACATCTTGACACCTGTGCCAAAAATACCAGATGACCATGTTATACTGAAAGGGTGTGAAAAGAGATTAGTCTCAAAGTGCAATTTTTCTTTTTGGTTAAATACAGCTGGCTTTTTTTGGCACAGCAAATTCTGTAGATATCTATTTATGAACCAGTCCTGATTGTTCACAAAATGGTCTGTATAAATTGAGCTATTAAAATATTATTTTAATTTAGTGCCTCTTATCTTTGATTTGGCTATTGAGTTTTATAAATTCTAATTGAAAAAAAAACTGTACATAATGCATATTTTGTATCTACTCCTTGTGCACATCATCGGTACTCTTTGGTTGAGGTGTACACTCGGTTTAAACACTTGAACACTCAACTATTTGAGAAGGAGCAAGTAATATAGTGTGACACCAATTCATTAAATGGCTTATTTGCAGAATCAGTACACTTTATTTTATACTTAACAATGAGAATTTAAGTCACACAGAAAAAACTTTGTCAACTGAAGTATTGGAGTAGTAATATGGGAGAAGGAAGATGATCTTTCAAATTTTTGTGATTTTTGAGAGATGTTTTACAATGACAAAATAAACAGAATGCTTCCTTTACTTTGTTTGATAAATCCTTGTTCTGTTTTGCTTTCAGTAGCACATTGTTTATCAGGTCTTTCCCCCCACCAAATATACCAATCATGTATTAAGTAAAATGTTATGTTTTTTTTTTTTTAAGGCCTGATTCTGCCTCTGAGTAGATGAGGCAGAATCATAGTCATAATAAGTAACACATTTTTGATTATCAGAAGATTATGTAATAACATTATGACTTATTAAATATTTACCTGTGTATGTTGTATAAATGGTTTCTATAGTTGTCCTCGTTGACAATATTCATGGAAAATGAGTCTTCACAAATAGTAAGTCTGTTGAAGCTAACTTCGCATGATGCCAGCTTTCTTGAAGCAAAGTTGTTTGTAATCTTTAGTATCTAACACTTGCAAATATTGGTAAGTTGTGTCTAAGTTGGAAAAACATCTTTTTGGGAACCCTTTTTAAAAAAGAGGTAACTTCAGGCATCTTCATTCTGATGTATTACATGCAAAAATATCAAGTGCTAGGTAATATGAAGGGCTTTTAGCTCCCACACTATACAAGCTTTTGTATGTTAGCTTGTTTTGCATATATTACACAGTTATGTTTGTCTGCATAACTTGGAACTTTATTAAATGATATAATTTCATACTTGGTAATGGAATTATTGATTAAAAAAATTGAACTTTAAAAACTCTCAGTCAAAGGAAACTAGTCAAGTCACTGCTTAGGTTCCTGGAGACTGCAGACTAAATTATTTCAGGGTGGTACTAGACAAATACTACGATAGCAAATCCTAACTTTGCTAGGATACATCTCACAATACACTAAAAAGAAGGATAATTCTAGTACAATAACTTTTAAACTATTTTTTAATGTAATTGTTGGCAGAATTGGAAATAAGAAATGTTGTACTTCAACAAATAAGTGTTCTAAAAGTAACTGCAGCTTATTGAAGCTGTATAAACATCTACTGATGTATTTCCCAGCTGCTTTATTTTACAATCTTTTATAGTAAATACAGTTCATATTCCCAGTGGTTTTGAGAGTATTTGTGCCCTGTTAAAGTGGTGTATGTGCACTAGCAGCACAACTGTATTCTGACTTTATCCAGAATCATGTTTGATTGATGTGGTCTTTTATCTTTACAATTTTAGGGCTATATTTTCATCTTTAATAGGGCGATCCAATTACAACTTTAAACTTTTAAGTAATAAAGATGTTTGTGAATATTTACAATTAAATACATAAAACATTAGGGGTTAGCATACTTAGGAGTTGGTGATCATTGTGTTATTTACATACCCAGTTCCTTTTCATGTGGGCTTACCCTTTCTCTAAATATTTTGTTTTATGCTATTATCTTCTAGTTGCTGTTTTAACTATTCCTTTCTGCAAATATAGTATCTGTATATACAATATGTAATATAGATATATATGCATTGGACATAGTAAATATTTTATACACAATTGCAGATTTGCACCTTTTACCTAAAAATGTTTACTTTCACATTTTGCATATATTATGCAAGGAATCTGTACTTAAACACTTCTCAAATGGCGCCCAATAGTTTGTTATAACTCGTATTTTTAGATCAGGTATGTATGTAAATACAGCATAAGATGTATTTTATAAAGATTTTGAATTAAACTTGTTTATGTAATGTAAAAAGCTTTTATTTATATTCATCGAGTCAGAACACATACATTTACATTCCTATACATGTAATAAGTTTCATATTCTAGAATTGTAAATAAATGTTTAGGATTATGAAGCGTATACATGTTTGTCATACTTGAAAAATATAAAACAGACATCTTGACAATTAGACAAATGTTAAAAAATGAGCTATGTGGATAACATGTAGGCATATACTAAAAAAGAGGCATCTTTTTCTGATAAGCTTTTGCATAGTGAACAGGTATATACACAGGCCTTTTTGCTTTCTTTCCCTTCTATAGTCATTGGAGGGAAACACTAGCTTTAAGATTTATTTTAGCTACATGTGATTTGACTTGGTGAGGATAGGGTAGTTTGACTTTTGCATAGAATATTTTTTATTTATTACTACACTTATGAGTCTCATTTCCCCTGAAATAATGAGAGGATGCCAAAAAGCTGCTTTTCACAGGCCTGCATCCATTTTTATCCTTGTGCTTCTGCCTGCTCTTCTACATAAATACCATCTGTTTAAAGCGGAATTCTAATCTTGATTCAACAAGAGAAGTAGGTACTGCCTTTGATTGAATCCTACTGCAAAATGAATCCTGTTATACAAGTTTGTCCTGCTGTAACAGGGCATTCTATGGAGTTGATGGTGTGTGTGTTTTTGTTTTTTTAAACATTTGTCAAATATCCACTACCATCTCTGGAAACATAATAGACAGGCACTGCAGCTGGAAATGGATTCAGCTTGAAAAAATTAAAGGAGAATCTGGGTAAAAATAGTTGCCAGTACCTCTCCAGTCAGGTCTCAGTAACTCAGTATTTTATACTCTCTAATATAAAAAAATAGGGTTTGTAGAAGCATGCTTTGCTTTGAGTGTAGGGGTATTCAGCTTTTATCTCTAGTATCAGGTAAGCACTCTTTTCATCCTGAAGCTTATATAGCCTTACAAAAAGGCCGCTAGAGTCAACAGTAGGCTGGGGCATAACTTAAGAGTCAAGATAATGGTTCAGAGCTTTAGAAGAGCTCAACATTGTTGGGTTTTTTGTTTGAGGGCAAAATTATGCACCTTACTTATTTAAGTGCTCATCTTAAAAGTAAGTCTAAAGTTGAAGCCAGAGAACAAAACTCCCCTTTAAAATACCACACAGTCTTCTGAGGGAGTCAACTTTATCAATCACTTTTGATTATTTAAAATGCTAGAGGTCTTATTCATTAACTGCTTTGAGTCAATTGATTGATGGCTTCCAGGAGCTGGAAAAGAAGAAAGCTGAATGGAGCAAAAACTAAGAGCTGGCATTTTCTGAGGGATACCTCAAGTCTGAAAAGGTTGAGAACTATTCACCTAAGTTAGCCAGCTGGATAAGAAGTGAAACGACAACTCTCATCAGATGATGATCGGAGATCCTGCTGGTGGAAGATCATCTGATCTGTCCTTTGCTGGTTTTCTTCGCTGCCATTGTGCTTCTGATGGTACAGGCTGAGGTGGTCTCAATTTCACCTCTTGACTAGGCCTACAGCATCTAGGGGTGGAAGAAGCCTATATGATCCACAGTGGAAGGCCTCCTCTTTGCATACTTCTAGGAGGCCAATATACTTATTCAACTTTCTTCCTTTCTAGCTTCTAGAAACAGTCTACCTATATCTGTATACTGGCTATGTCAAGTTGAGTTTTCTACCTAGGATCATGGTTCCTTATGCCTGAATTGTTAGCTACTGGGTAATTGTGGAGAGATCCAGATTATCAGTTTTAGCCTGTTGCAGTGGTGGGGTGCACATCCTTCAAAATGTGCCAGTGTGATCTGTGTCCTACAGTAGGAAGCATTTACTTTAAAAGCTCCAAGCACTTGATTGCACCACCTCTACTCCTCCATCTCCCTGCACTGGGCATGGTACTTGTTGTACCCAGGATAGCTAGAGACTCTTACTTTATCTGGAGAAGTACAAGGGAAGCCAAACCGTGTGTAGGGATGTTCTCAGGCAATATGAACAAGAGCAGCTACACACAGCAGAGAATACACAAGCTTATTCAGAATCTGACCTTGCTTTGAGACTGCTTCCAGATTCCCACCCCTCTGCCTGGGTGTTGGGGGAAATGTATACAGCTCAGGTTCAGCTTTCTCCATTCCTTGAGATAAGGCAGTTCTGGGGCAACAAAAATTAAATTCAATTTGAGAGAGAGCAGGGATATTAAGTCCTGGCCTGTAGGCACATCTACATGAGCTGCTACAGGTGTACTAGACTAATTCTACTGCGCATTAGTGTCATAAAAAGCGTGTGCCAGTGCTACTGTGTGGTAGCACTGATTACAGCACACTTAGTACCTGTAATTACTAAGCATGCCATAATTACAGCACATTAATAAATGCATAGATGCATCCTATGATCACTGTTCTTTCAAGATCCCCTTATTAGCAGGGATTGTGGTTTTCTGATGGATAAAATTTGCAAATTCTCTGAGTAGAAAAACCCCAAATCCATGTTTTTCCATGATTAAAATGAAATACCTCTATTCATGTGGGTATCAGTTGAATGCAATGTTTGATATATTTACAATTTTAAAGCAATTTGGAAGCCTGCCAGTACCTCAATAATTGTAATAAAATAAATTCTAAATGCCTATTGAGGTTTGATTTTGTTAATTTTTTATCATGGAAAATCAGAGCTCCCCCTTCACTCCCTAGGAGTGGTTCCAGCTGTG